GCGCGGGGCTTTGCTTTTTGCCGTGAGTCTATCACGAGGGGAACCCAAGGAAGTGCTGAATATGTGGGAAGTGGAGGGGAAGACTAATATCCAAGAAGTACGGAAAAGTTGGGGGATCCTGGGATTTCTGTCTATTCCCCACTCAGTGTTTGCACTGAAGGGGTCCTAGCGGAAGTTGAAAGATTTGGCGAAAGTTTCCCGCCGATTTCGGTCGCACGCTGGGTTCCCGGGTTCCCGGTTTTGGGTTCCCGAGTTCCCAGGTTCCTGGTTCCAGATTCCAGGCCGATTTCGGTGGGCGGCGGGGTTCCCAGGTTTCTCGGTTCTTGGTCGATCTTCTTATCGCTCGGTCTTGCTATGGATCCAATTACCCATTTCTTTATCGATTTCATTATCGATCCCACAATCGATTTCACAATCGATATCACAATCGATCCCACAATCGATCTCACTATCGATCTCACGATCGATCTTATTGAGTCGATGTCATTGTCGGTCTCACGATCGACCTTACGGTCGTCCTCTTTATCGATCACACTATCGATCTCAGTGTCCATATCACTGCTTTTCAAACCATCCATTGATTGGGAGTTTTCTCTGGTGTAATTTCAGTTCAACTATTTAAAGGGAACCATATTGGGTGGTTTCAGGATGCGTTTATACAGTATCATCTCGCCGCCGTGAGGGTTCGGGTGCCGAAGGCACGCGCGCCCTACATGCCTGGACACTCTGTGTCCGTCACCTGCGGGGAAAAACTCCCATCCCACATCCTGTACCCAGCACTTGTACCATACATCCCGTTCCTATCACATGATGAACTTACAACAGAAAGGAGACTTTGACTCGGTAGCGGAGTCTGGACATCCCAGATTCGGCGTCACCCGAACATAATAATACTATGTGCGCGTCGCCCCCCCACGGGCGACGCGCGCACCGAGAAATCTTATAGCAGAAGTTTCGCAGCATCTCCTGCCGCATAAGCTAGTGTGGTCCGCCACACTACGAATTCCTGTTGTATCTCGCTACATAAGAAATCCATGTGTATTCCGCCACAAGCATCATTCCCGGAAAGGGCTGAAGCCCAGGGCTCTCTTTTAGAAGTTTGCCCCCGGAATCGACGGGAAGAGGGCCGGCGGAATTATTCTGCGATAAATTACGTGCGGGAAGAGGGCCGGCGGAATTATTTTTGAGGATGTCTCGAGCGAAACGCTTGTTCCCGGAAAGGGCGCCGGTCCAGGGTTCTCTTTTAGCTGGTTTACCCCCGGTTTTGACTTGAAGAGGGCCGGCGAAATTATTCTGCGTAAATGACGAGGTAAAATGCTGAAAAAAATGCGTTTCGTGCGTGCCCGCTCGAGGAAAATGCGCCCCCCATCTCGGATCCTCGATAAAAAACGAGGTCCGCAGACCCCCGTTTTCCCTCGTGAAAAAGAGGGTGCGGAGCGTTTTTCGCAGAATCCTCGACTAATAACGGGGTCTGGAGCCCCGACCGCGACGCGGAAAAGCGCCCCGCGCGCAGGAATTCCGGAATTTCGAGAATGTCTCGATTAATTCGCTTGTTTTGTCAGGATTTTTCAAAAAAAAATTAGCAGGATGTCTCGAGCGAAACGCTTGTTTTTCATAATTTGTTGAGGATGTCTCGAGCAAAACGCTGGTTTTGCAAAATTTGCGGATGTCTCGAGCGGGGGCTTCGCGGGGGGACAGAATTCAGAGGATGTCTCAGGCGCAATGTTTGTTTTCGTGTCCCGCTCGCAGGAATTCCAAGGATGTCTCGCGCGGGCCGCGTCCCGCGCGCAGGAATTTCGAGGATGTCTCTACTAATTCGCTTGTTTTGTCTGGATTTCTTAGAATTTCGGTAGGATGTCTCGAGCGAAACGCTTGTTTTTCATAGTTTGTTGAGGATGTCTCGAGGGAAACGCTGGTTTTGCAAAATTTGAGGATGTCTCGAGCGGGAGCTTCGTGGGGGGCCAGAATTCAGAGGACGTCTCAGGCGAAATGCTTGTTTTCGTGTCCCGCTCGCAGGAATTCCAAGGATGTCTCGCGCGTGCCGCGTCCCGCGCGCAGGAATTTTGAGGATGTCTAGACTAATTCGTTTGTTTTGCCAGGATGTCCTTGGATTTTGACCGGATGGATGTCTCGAGCGAAACGCTTGTTTTTTCAAAATTTGTTGAGGATGTCTCGAGCGAAACGCTGGTTTTGCAAAATTGGGGGATGTCTCGAGCGGGAGCTTCGTGGGGGGCCAGAATTCAGAGGATGTCTCAAGCGAAATGCTTGTTTTCGTGTCCCGCTCGCAGGAATTCCAAGGATGTCTCGCGCGTGCCACGTCCCGCGCGCAGGAATTTTGAGGATGTCCCGTAGCGCGTCCCCTTGGCATGTCCTACGGTGCGACCCCATGGCACGTCCCTTGGCACGTCGCCTGGCGCGTCCCTTGGGACGTTTCGCGGCGCGTCCTCCTGGCATGTCCCCTTGTCAATTAGCTCTGGGGCAGCTACTATGTGTTCAGGCAGCTCGAGTTTTAGATTTAGAGCAGTTCGATCAGGACTCGGATGCAAAGGAAGACTCGATCCACGACGCTATAGAGCACAACCGCGGCATGGCACATCGCAATTCAGCACGGTGCAGCACAGCACAGCCCTCGGCACGGTACATCAAGATCGATACAATCAGCATTGCATTTGCCCGTCACCCAATCAGGTGTCTTTGAAAACGTTGCCATGCGTTACATTTCTATATTCCTTTCCGGGTTCGTGGGTCGATCATGTTTTTCCCGGAAAGGGCTGAAGCCCAGGGTTCTCTTTTAGAAGTTTTCCCCCGGAATCGACGGGGAGAGGGCCGGCGGAATTATTTTGCCATAAATTACGTGCGGGAAAAGGGCCGGCGGAATTATGTTTGAGGATGTCTCGAGCGAAACGCTTGTTTTTGTTCCCGGAAAGGGCGTAGGCCCACAGTTCTGTTTTAGATGGTCTTCCACTCGGTTTTTACTTGAAGGGGGCCGGCGAATTTCTTGTGCGATAAATTACAAGGTCGAAGGGGGCCGGCGAATTAAAATTGTGAGGACGAAGGCCATTTTTCGCCACCCCTCACGCAGATCGTGCTCTTGGAATTTTACCGCCCCCAAGGAAACCTCGATATTTCACAGGTGAAGTCAACTTTTTTCCGACATCGACTTTAAACTATAAAAGAAAAGGTAAACGCGTTCGCTCGATAAATAACGAGGTGCCGCGGCCTCCAGAACGGCGCTGGGAACGGAGTTTTGGATTCTTGAAGTTGCATAAGTTCGGAAATAGCAGAAATCCCCTGTGTTTTTGGACCCTGCCCCGCGGATCTGCGTAAGGGGTGGCGCCGACTTTCAGAAATGTAGCAAATCCCGTGTGTTTTTGGACCCTGACCCCGCGGATCTGCGTGAGGGGTGGCACCGAATTTCAGAAATGTGGCAAATCCATGTGTTTTTGAACCCTGACCCCGCGGATCTGCGTGAGGGGTGGCACCGAATTCCAGAAATGTGGCAAATCTCATGTGTTTTTGGACCCTGACCCTGCGGATCTGCGTGAGGGGTGGCACCGAATTTCAGAAATGTGGCAAATCCCATGTGTTTTTGAACCCTGACCCCGCGGATCTGCGTGAGGGGTGGCACCGAATTTCAGAAATGTGGCAAATCCCTGTGTTTTTGGACCCTGACCCCGCGGATCTGCGTGAGGGGTGGCACCGAATTTCAGAAATGTGGCAAATCCCATGTGTTTTTGGACCCTGACCCCGCGGATCTGCGTGAGGGGTGGCACCGAATTTCAGAAATGTGGCAAATCCCTTGTGTTTTTGGACCCTGACCCCGCGGATCTGCGTGAGGGGTGGCACCGACTTTTAGAAATGTGGCAAATCTCCGATGTTTTTGGAGCCTGACCCCGCGGATCTGCGTGAGGGGTGGCACCGAATTTCAGAAATGTGGCAAATCCCGTGTGTTTTTGGACCCTGACCCCGCCGAGGGCAGCTACTATGTGTTCAGGCAGCTCGAGCTTAAGATTCAGATCAGGACTCGGATGCAAAGGAGGACTCGATCCACGAGGTTATAGAGCACAATCGCGGCATGGCACATCGCAAGTCAGCACGGCGCAGCACAGCACAGACTTCGGCACAGTACATCAAGATCGATAGACTCAGCATTGCAACTTGGCACGTTCCTTGGCACGTTCCGTGGGGCGTCCCTTGGCGAGTCCCCCTGGCACGTCGCGTGGCGCGTCCCCTGGCACATCCCGTGGCACATCCATTGGCACGTTCCGTAGCGCGTCCCCTTGGCACGTCCCGCGGTGCGTGCCCATGGCACGTCCCCTGGCACGTCGCTTGGCGCGTCCCTTGGGACGTTCCGCGGCGCGTCCTCCTGGCATGTCCCCCTGTCGATTAGTTCTGGGGCAGCTATTATGTGTTCAGGCAGCTCGAGCTTAAGATCCAGAGCAGTTCGATCAGGACTCGGATGCAAAGAGGACTCGATCCGCAACGCTATCTAGAGCACAATCGCGGCATGGCACATCGCAGTTCAGCACGGCGCAGCACAGCACAGATTTCCGCATGGTACATCAAGATCGATACACTCAGCATTGCAATTTGTCACGTTCCGTGGGGCGTCCCTTGGCGAGTCCCCCTGGCACGTCGCGTGGCGCGTCCCCTGGCACGTCCCGCGGCACGTCCATTGGCACGTTCCGTAGCGCGTCCCCTTGGCACGTCCCGCGGTGCGTGCCCATGGCACGTCCCCTGGCACGTCGCTTTTGGCGCGTCCCTTGGGATGTTCCGCGGCGCGTCCTCCTGGCATGTCCCCCTGTCGATTAATTCTGGGGCAGCTACTATGTGTTCAGGCAGCTCGAGGTTAAGATCCAGATCAGTTCGGTCAGGACTCGGATGCAAAGAGGACTCGATCCACAACGCTATCTAGAGCACAATCGCGGCATGGCACATCGCAGTTCAGCACGGCGCAGCACAGCACAGATTTCGGCATGGTACATCAAGATCGATACACT